ACAGAATGACTTGCAAAACCTTGAGATAACAGTATAGGACACAACATCTGCTTTATTTTGGTATTTCCTAGAAAGAAACAAAGAAAGTAGTTAGCTACTCCAGATGGTTTACAACAGATTTGTACATGAATTTTTTCATGAATACAACTTTTTCCTAAACAGAAGTGCTTGAACTAAAGCTACACTGGATGTCAAAAGACCTTTCAGTACACTCTCTAAACACCATATTAGAGATTAATGCTAACAGAGAATCAGATTTATTTTTCTTCCTATTTCCTTCACTGGCACAGACTAGCACTTAAAAAGTCATCTAGCCTATTATCAGGCATTCAAGTCCCTAAATTCAGTAACAGAAGGAATAGCTTTTGCATGCCTGCTAAGGTTAACAGTGCTATTGGCTTAATTTTATTCACCTGCTCAAATGACAGAGTACACTCCTTGAGTGTTTGACAAGACTTCAACCCACCAAATGCAGCATGTATAATTTGTAAGCTCTTTATTCTTCTTGCTTAGATGTAAAAAACGCAGAAGAGTTTAAAACAAAAGCAATAAGCTTCAGTTGCAAAAGTATTTCAGCTGCTCTGAAATAAGAATCATTATGTTTCTTTAAAAGTAGTTTCTATAAAATTAACCATAAATTCAGCTTAAAATGTAAAAGTAGCAGATAACTAACAATTCAGATGTGTGTATCTACAAAAGCATCTAGGCATCTACCCATTGTTTTGAACAGGATGCAAATGCCCAAATTCCTTCATGGATCAGGGACTACTTATTTAATCTTACAAACCACTGCCTCTTACAAAAGTTACCATGACAGTACACTGGTAGAAGGAACTATCGCAGGAAGAATTCTGGATAACAGCCAGCTTTCTCTGGGGCGTGAGGGAAATACAAGCCTTATTGTAACACTGGTGATTTTAAACTGATTACAGCACTCTGATGAGCTGAATGAGTGATAAAGGGGACATGCTGCAGACCTTAACTTTAAGCCCACTGATCAAAGAATGGAGCTATGACAACATGTCATTATGGCTTGCCTCTTCCAAACACTAAATAGTGCTTTTCAGCTACCAGAAAGTATCACAAGCAAGAAATTGCTCATAAGAAGGAATACTTTGCCACTGTTTGAAGAAGAATTGTAGGGATTCTGTTTGTTTTATGCCTGTAACATTACGCTGCTGCAAGCCCTGTATTTTCCCCAACATTCTCTCTTCTTAGGCACCGCAACAGGATAGATGGTTCAAGGAATCAAATCAAGCCAGAAAAACTCAATTATTTTCTGCCACTTGAGCTCTTTGAACCAGCTTAGGAAGTCAGGATCACACAAGTGCCAATGCGAGAAATGCAGAACCGGCAGCTGCTGCTGATTCAGATTTGCTCGGAGTATTGTGAAACTACACCTTAAGCAGCATCCACTAAATCATTAATGAACTCTGAAAAAGTATTTTGAAAGAACTAGACAGCAAGTATTCTAAATCATTCTATTGGACTACATGGCAATAGCCCTCCCAAAAAAGTTAAAAAGTTTATCAGTAGAAGTTGTTTCCACATCCAAGAATTTCAGGAAAAAAACCAAAAACACAAGCAGTGCAGACTCACAAAGTTACACAAAATATTTTAATTCCCTCTTAAATACACCAGTGACTAGGGCATGAATACAGAATGCATGACCGGAACGCAACTCTCTTCAAGCACTGTCTCCCACCTTCAGAAGATCCCCTTAACTACGAGGGCACAGGGTGCTTGCGTGATGAAGCACTCAAGAGCCTCAGTTCTTCTGATGCTACTCCAGTAGCCTTTAGAAGTGGCTGACTCACAAAAGCAGACCGGAAGAAAATCACTATGCTTCCCAGAAGCAAGAGGCTTGATCCCTCCCAAATTCTTCTACTCTACAGACGATGTGAGAGCATTCATTAGACAAGGGTGACCTTCAGCCCAGCGACAGGTTGCTTAAAGTCAGGCAGATTCAAAGGTAGATATTTTGGGCTAAAAGCATCTTACCTCAGAATATGCTCCTATCCATCCAAATTCTATCTACACTAATTCTCAGAAGTAAGAAATGCAGGTATTTAGTGTCTCAAAACACAAAAGTATCTTAAGATATACACTCCACCACTGAACACTGCACAAAGAGGGGACATTACTCCTATTTACTTCCGCACAGTAGTGACTCTTACTTCTCCGAATAAGCTGCATTTTTTCCCATAGGAAAAGAGACTTAGATTCATGATACAGCTTTGGGATAACAAGCTATTATATCCAGCCCCCAATAATTTGTGTGCAGAAAATGCTCACATACACAAATGAAACTGTTTTATCCAGGAATTACATCACAAGAAAAAAGCTGAATGCTTCCTATTAAAGGCTTAATGAAGTTACAAGATGTATTAAGCATTTTATTTGGGCTCCTTAAGTCTTCGGGGTATGTAAACACTCAATATTTGAGTAGGACTAAGTTAGTTCAGTAAACTTTTATAATTTTTGCTACTAAGACACCAGTACTCTACGGTAGAATAGTTTTTAATTGAGCACAACTTAGATATTCCTTGGCTAATAAAGAATTTGAATTTCACCGTGTTTACAGTATTTTTTTCAGAAGGGAAAGACTATATGCAGCCAAAGCCATAAGTAAATCACTGCTAAAGAACTAAAACCAATATTCAATAGTAAGCACATGAAAAAAATTACACAGTCTAGAGAAATTTGAAGAACACTACTATGTTATTTTACAGAAGGGTAGGCCTCAAATGCTGGTCTTCCTGATGATTAAATACATACTTAATAACCTTGGTAGCAAAGCACTAATAATGCTCAAGCTGAATCCTAATGTTCAAAACAAACAAAACCCACTACAAGATCCAGTCCTTTGCAAGTTTCCAGACTCTGGTCAAAGAAGCACCAGAAAAACACTCGTTTCATTCTGCTCCACTACCAGCTACAACTCTGACCTTTTACAGATAACCAAACCATTGCTGCTTTAAAACAAGTAAACAAACCAACCAACCCACTCCCTGAACATCAACAGAAAGAGCTATAATCTAGTATGTCATAATTGGCCTTATGACATCACAGTACCACCACTGCCAATATCATCCCCCAGAATTGTAAACCAGTTCACGCAGAAGATAGTAAAAGATTCTGCAGAAGTAAAAGATACTAGGAGGGAGAAGGAAAAGAGCAATAGTGTAAGCCTACCACAGGTTAGCTAGTATACTGCAACCTCCGAATTGCATGTTTCCAACATACAGTAAACGTAAGATAACATCACTCTCAAGAGAGGCATTCATTAGGTTACCTGATTTTTCCGGGAATATAAGAGCATACCAAGGGAGTGCACTAGTTGTGCTGCAAGTTCACACAGTAGTTCTTCCTTAGTCTACATATATGACAAAGCCCAAACTAAAAACAGGAGTTAATTTCTGTGTAATTACTTGAGACAGTGTACAGCTTTCACCCTAAAGAGAAAGTTGTTCATCCTTTGTAATAAAATGATAATGAATTCTCTCTGCATTTGCTAAGTGGTTCTTGGTTCTATACAAAAACATTGTGAATCAACCAAGACCAGGCAAAGCCTCTATTTGTGTTTTTGTGGGTGTGGGTTTTTTTCCCCCCTCTTCAAGTGTGGAAGCTGCATTAAAATGTTCATTATTACAACAGTGAAAGGGAAGAGAATGAACAGAAGTTCGAAACTAAAAACTCTATGAAGTAATTTAAGTGCTTTATCCTTTTTGAAGCAGTTGATCTAGTATTACAGTTTTGTAAAAAGTGCAACAGTATCTTTCCACTGCATTTTAGAAGTAACACCCAGGGTTTCTTAGAAAGGTAAATGCCTTGAAATAAATTTACGTGGGATTCCGATGAAAATTTAGTTCAGCAGTTTGAAGTTTGCAGTTCAAACTTTTATTGCAAGTTAGTCATCTGAACTATTCAAGGCTGAATTTCCAACAGGAACACACTATTAGACTAGTATTTTACACTAGTCTAAAAGCTTGATAATACTACGGGCTTAGCATTCTAATTAGGTCCATACTTCTAAATATCACCTTACAAATGGTGGACTGAAGCTATGTCCACCATTAAGCTAATGGACTTAAGCTAATGGCTGCCTTTTGATACATCTAGAAAGCAGTTACAAAAGCTATTCTGAACTTTTTTCCTGCAGACCTATCTTTAATACGTATTTGTAAGGCAGCTCTTTAATTCCTAAATTCTCTGTAATTCTCTTTTCGGTAAGCTTTAGATCAGTAAATTCGCATTATGGCTATGTAGATGTCTTGGCAGCAGTGGTAGCTTAAGCAATATTTGCTCTCAGCAGCTGGTTCCTGTTTCCATGCTAATGTCTGTTGGTCAGCCACATAGACAGCTATGCTGGTACAAGTGAATGCCTGAAGCAGAGACTGCTCATCTAGCTGATGAGTAACTCAAACTCTGTTGAATTATACAAGCAGAAGATGAAGGAATACCAAAAGGCAGCCTTTCTAGAATTCAGAATGCACGTATGCAATCTACATTTGCCTACTGGGAGATCGCTGACAAGCACTTACTCCTCTGTTCTCCTGTAAGAGAGTTATGCTTAGCATAACTCGAGCACAGAAGTATGGAATCATCTATGAGTTATGCTGGACAGCTTTTCAAACATCCCGTTTCAGGAATGCTGAAGAGAAAGGCCATCTAACATGCTTCAGTAAAAATATCTAAGTACAAAACTTGTTCATTTTCAGTTACCTGATCTTCAGCCAAACTAAGGAGAAAAGAGTATCTTCAAGAGTTAAAATGTACTGCATTTATGTGTTAAGTGTTCTTTTGCAAAAAAACCCCCAACCAATCCCAATTAAACTACAAAGAAGGATTGTAAGCAAAGGACTTCTACTTTGAACAAACATGTTTATTGGGGCTGCTAGGTCTTTCCAGAGAAGAGCTTGCAAAAGTCTCTCACTAGCTTTTATCATATCTTACATTATGGCTACAGTGTAAGTAAAGTTCTAGATATGCCTTCCACGGCAATCCAGGAGTTGCAGATTGAGGAAGATGTGTTCATATTCCACATGGGTTTGTGTTTCTTTTTCTTAATGCAAAGGGCAGAGTCTGCAAACATCCACCTTCCTGATGGGGGGACTGAAAATTCCAGCTCAGACACACCAGAGTGATTTGCATGGGCAACATAAGATCATGTTTACTATTACTGAAGTGCCTATCTTTTGAGCACATTCCTATGGTGCTTCCCCCATGAGGTAAATTTATTCTCATCTTACTAGCTAGAACACCTAAGTAGCAATAGCTAATGAGTCAGTTTGCAACCATCTGTCCATTTGTTGCCTCTGAACATCTGGCCTTCAAAACAATGTTTAAAAAAATACTGTCACTCCAGGTGGATTACTTAGATTTTGTAAATAGCCATCTGCTTAAAACAAGCAGAAATCACAGCCTGAGCACTGGTTAAGTGTTCTGAGAAAGAATCTACCACACCTGTCATCTGATAACATTACAGGGCACATCTAATCAGAAGTCCTCTGCGCCAAAACAGCATATCCCTAAACCACACCTCACTTCACACAGAAGTGAACTGTCTCATCCACTCCAGCTACTATAGCAGCATTAAAGAGCATCCGGAGTTAATCGTTCCTTTCCCCAGGAAAAGAGCAAGGTGTTAGAAAACTATGGTATTATTCAAATTCAGAAGTAATCTTGCAAATAAAAACCTCCTCTGTTGATTATGCAGTAAAGAGGGCTTAGCCCTTTCTTGCTAAGCCTTTCAAGAAAACGTCTTAAGTGTAAGACCATGAAGAACTCTCACAGAAGCAGTTGTCAGGAAAATCAGAGAAAGCAACAGATTTCAGATCGGTTAATTCTGTAGCAAGTATGTGCATTTGGATAATAAAGAAACTCCATTGTTGCAGACTTCAAAATGTGATAGGATAGAGAGGTAAGAAACCTGACATAATTGCCTACTTTCATTGCTAAGACAGCAAAGGTGACCGAGCTCCAAAATTTTAAGATGCTCTAGCTGTAGGATATAGTCAGGAAGTTTCATAGTTTTCAAAGGATTGGTATCATTGGGAGTCTCTCATAGGAAATGCTCACGAAGGGGAAGAACAGATTCTCTGCAGAAGGCTATCTTGACTAATTCTTCTCTGAACAGTGTTCAGTGATTTTTAAGCCAGCTAACAGCTAGAGTTCTCAAAAGTTAATTTTCATCTGGGTGGAGAATCTCACCCTAGCATCTAGTGGCTAGCAACTCATTTAGAACAAGTCAGCTTTTGAATGAAGTCTTGCTACTACCATTGAAGTCAATAAGGAGGTTTTTTTATCTTCGATACCACATCTTGTATTTCTGCTGCTCCTGACAGAGAAAAGCTTAAACCCTGTTTCTACAACATGTCTTTCTGTACAGATCTGGTATTTAGAGCAAATATCCCACACAGGTTTCTCAAAGGCACAATAGCATCCCATTTTGCTTATCAGGGGAATTAAGCCATTAAAATATATGCATGTCAACTAATCACGTTTTTCCCTAACATGTATAATACACACAACCCTAAGTGGGACTACGAGTATATCCAAAACTTAGAAGGAATTTAAACTCCACAAAGTGGAGTGAAAAATGAGCAAAAAGATCAAAATTACAGTATTTCAGTTAGCACCAGGTACAGAAAATACAGTAAGAATTCCCTGATGTTGATATGTTTGACAATGACAGAAATCAAGTTTTATCAAGTTTATAAGGGATAGAAAGAGTAGGTTTTTATTTCTTTATATATGATACTGATGATTAGGGGAAGGACTTCCCCTCTTTCCAAGAATGCAAGTAAGGTTCTTATTCTTCCCTCATCTTCTAAGGGTAAGTCTTCAGTTACAAATGAACTAAAACTGAGCCATCACAGCAGATAAACTTGGACATTGCTGATGTACCTGTGCAGACAGTTACAGGAGGCATAAATTCTCTGCCACACTACTTAACCACTTGGATCTATTTGTGGCTTTTTTAGCCATATTACCACTTGCTAGGTTTATACACAAAAGGAGTTAAATTAAATGCAAAAAAAGGTCATTCAACACCATAATAAAATCACCAGCAGATTCAAATCAGTAATATAAAAACATCAGCACTACAAGCTGCCAAATATTAACACTTACATTATAGGCATTTTAATGTTTACTGCAAAGCACACAACTTGGAAAAAGATAATTCAAGCATCTGTTATGTCAACTAACAGCCTACACACACGCAATCTTCCAAAAGAACAAATTTAAATAATACAGGAACTGAAGCCTCCAAATAGGAATTGTTAAAATACAGTTATTTTTAGACCTCAATTACAGTTTTAGAACACCTTTTTTCTTCCCTTAGTCTCTTCCATGTTAAGAAATTTTTTCTACCTATTAGCAAAGTTACTTCAGTAACCATACTGTACTAGTATGAAAAGAATCAGCACTTAGAAATGTAAAGACATCTTAAGATTTCTAAGAGGGTCTATTTGCTTAGAAAGCAGCTCCTTTATTGCTAACACAGATTTATCTGCTTCCTAAATCAACGCAGTTGAACTGATTTGGTTCATGTCGAATAAGGCATATCTCAAAGCATTTTAAGGCAGTTATAAACAAATGCTTAAGAGAAGCAGCTGATCCTACATGATATGTAATGACATACTGCCATACTGTAACAGGATCAATATACCTGTAACCACATGAACAACTATTCAATCCACAGTTTGTTATAGAAAGTTAGGTTTTAGATCACAGATGGCTTGTCAGACTACTTCAGAGAACACAGTACTCCCCCCTGCAGTTTTATAGCATGCTCTACTTTTCCATCAGGCTAGAGAAACTTTTAAAGAAAAAGTCTGAACTCTAATTAAAAAAATTACTATCTCTAGGAACTGCAGAGTGAAGCAAATTTCCGTTACCTTTTTTTCTGGCAGCAGTCTCCACTATCGTCGCCTGGACACATGGAATCTTTTTCAGGTGTCTGCATTGAGGCTATCTGAACTGCTTCACTTGTCATCTAAACAGAGGAGTACTTGGCAAGAAGCAGCCATTTGGCGACTTGCAAGCTTAAATACTCAAAGTTTTGTCCAATTAATACTGCAACTTCAGTTTCACAATAAATTAGTTTGACTCACTTTTAATCAATACAGTTTAAACTCTCTTGATTTGCAATATATCTTTCAATGCTGAAGTTTCAAATATATCTATTGAGTAAAAACTGTTTTAAATTTTGCCACTATGCAAGTATCACAACATGTGTCGAACTATACCTGCAAAAATTCAAAGGGCAATTTTATCAATAAGAACGTTAAAACTAACATGCAAGAAGACCATGCCAGTTCTTAAGAAATCAATATTAGAGAGGGTGCTTAAGGGCATTACAGACAGTCAATGCAGTAATGATAGGTCTACATGGACTTGACAGCAAAAAGGATTCCGGGAAGCAAGCATGTTAATAATTCAACATTCATTTTATGCTATTCATCAGGTCAGACATCAGCTGCAGGCAAATTCAGATAACACAGCTTAAGACACCATCTCCAGCTCCACCAAAGGTTACTGCTCCTGTACGTCGTTGGCTGCAAGACATGCCCTTGCTGGACTGAATGGTGATGGGAACATCTTAGCACAAAGATGCATAAAAGAACACATTAATTATAGCAAGGGGACAGACACCCTACCCTGTCATCCCATTTATAGAGACAACATGTCAAGATATTTTAAAATGATTTATATTTTCCAAAGCTCGCATCTCAGTCTTACCACTTTGCTACATGTAAAGCTTAACCTGCATGTATTCTATACCAAGTTTAACAAACTGCCTGGATTAAACTAGGAATCCATAAAAAAAATAATATCAAGGCTCACAAAGGAATACTCAAGTATTCAGGCTTTTGCAGAACGACAACTGAAAGAATCTGATGAATTTAGCAGTTTAAAAAGAAAAGTAGACATTCAGCTTGGGGATTACACAGATAATTCCCACTATATAAAAAAACAGAACCACACAGTCACAACAAATTAGAAATAGGTACATGAATAGAAGACTGCTGATCTGAGCCTTCAAACAGGTGCTGAATTCAGCACAATGAGTGCCAATTTCAGTAGGTCTCCACCCCCCCAAAATTGAAGAGCTAGCATTAGGCAACCAGCTGCCTACATTAAGTGCTACTTGTACCTTCCAGTCCCCAAAACATCTCCTACATCCTTCTGAGTGAATCCACATGAATGTCTCCACCATCTGTTCTATGGCTGGATACTATGGCCTTGTATTCCCCTTCTTACACAAACTACCGTCTGTGCAAGGGATAGCTATGTGCCTCTCCATTCTTCTGAACCACTTTTTCAGTTCCTCCCTTTGAGTGCCATGAACACAGTGCTAGCCCAGTCAACAGGACAGTCCATCAACATTCTCCCCAAGACTGGTCCCACCGGAGGGAATTCCACTTTGTTTGCTACAGGCTTTATCCCCCTAGTCCTTGTTATATCCTCCACTCTTCCCTGGAGGTGGTGCAGGAACAACACAAACATTATTAAACATGTTGTTAAACTGTGCATGGAAGCTGAAGGCAATAGTATCACTCTGCTGAATGATGTCAATGGCTCCTACCACTTGATCGAACTTGCAGACAGATGACAACTGTATAGGTGCTTAAAGCTATGGCTTTATAGAAAGAAATGCATCTATCATTCCTTCCAAAATGCAGCAAACCTGCCCTCTAACTCATAATTAGTTCCTGATATTTTGAAATTGACTGGAAATGTCACTCAAGAGCTATAATATCGCATTCATAGAGAAATTACAAGCTCAGCACAGGACCTTACAGTAAGCCAGAAAGAGTTACTAAGACACTGCCAATTTAGTGAGACATTTTATATCATGCAGCTTAGTGTATCAGTTTTAGAAGTGGGAACACCTATGCTACCCAAAAGACAGCTTTGCATAGTTAAACATTAGTTACGTGTAGCAACCTACTTAATTGTTTTAGTTAAGGAACACAGCCACAGCTAGCTTATATGCCTCTGATCATTAGTGTATTTCCACAGAATTATGCAGAAGTATTTAATACTTGATAAATATTCATAATATTCTGTAGGAATAGTATAATATGCAAGAAGCCAAGACCTCAGAAATAGTACCATTTCGCAAGCCTCAGTATTCATGCTTTTTGTCATCTGATCTTGGACAATTTTGAAAGTCTTACCTTGAACGTAGTACAAAAGTCATGTCAAATTTCTTCCAGATCTTTTTCCTTCTGATAAAGATTCACTTTAGAGACTCTTCCTTGTATATTAGGGGTGAATAAAGCAGAAGAGCCTGTGAGTCTGAAAGTAGTAAGATGGAAGAATTGACCAATTTCTCTCCTTATTCAACATGACATTCAATAAAATCCATAGCTCAAGAGCTGCTTAATAGCAACTTCTAGACTGGAACTAATAAAATACACAAACCACTGGAAGCAGCCAAGTTAGTCTAAGTAAGAGAAGTACCGACTTGTCTAAGGTAATGCAGCAAGAGATCATGTGAATGCCTTTCACTTGTTGGAGATGAAAGTATGAAGTGATCTAAGCTACACCATTCAATGGCCACTACTTGCTAAACAACCTCCCACTGTCAATATGTACCACCTTCACAGAGGTCTAAGCAAATCCATTTCCAAACCAGGAATATGTACAACCACATGACAGAGAGCGAGCCTGCATATAAACATGCGTGCATACGCATAAGTAAGTGGAGAGAGGATGGAAAAGTCTGGCACACTAATGCAATCGTTTACAAGAATATACCCAGATTCTGGACTCAAAGGAAAAGACAGACTAAAAGTTGAGATTCAAACTTATTCTAAAGCACAGAAACCATGACAAAGAAGCCTGTTACTAGCCACTATAGATTTCTTTAAAAGCAAAAGCAGAAAGACACCTGCCTAATAACGAAAAATTATCATGGTTACGAGAAAGAAACAAAGTTGCTTTTCTCACAAAGGCATGAGAAGGGCTATCACAGTTAAATCCACCATGCCTAGATATACCAGTATGTAACTTCTGCAGCATGAATCTGACTAAAGCCTTCTCCGTTTTAGAGATGTCTACATGTAGCATCCAGGATAACAGCTTCTTTTCATAGGCCTGGGCAAAGAAGGAAGTGAACCCATCTCAGAGAAACTGAGATTTAGTTCCCTTTTCCAGTATCCTTCTTTCCTCCCAATAAATTCAAACAACAAATGCTCTACAAATTGCTTTGTTTTACTACAAGGTTGAGAATAATGGGTGAAGGCAAGTGAGAGACAAGACATATTGATCACTATAAAGTTCTAAAACTTTTTTCAACACTGAGAAAGAATATATTGCCTTTCTTAGGTGAAATGAGCTTATTCAGTTAATGTACCTTGCTTATTCAAGAGGTAGATTTCAAGTAACTAATGCTTAATATCAAAAATAGTCAACAAGAGTACATTATTACGTTCAAGCTGTTTTATTTAGCAGCACTAGAAATAAATGCCACTCGCACAAGGAACAAAGTTTCCAAATAAAACAAAATGTATTGATTATTTTGGCTACTTAGGTCCCTGCCATGGGTGATTCTTCAAAGAATGATTCAGAGTGGAGGGGACCTACGAGGTCATACAGTTCAACTCAGTCCCAGTTGCTTAGGGCTTTATCTACTCAGGTCTTGAAAACCTCCACAGAGACTTACAGGTTACCTCCTATAACCTCTTAACAATTATCCTTACAGTAAAAGTTTTTCAACATAACCACCCATTTCAATTTATGACCATTGTCTCTTGTTTTCCCACTGTGCATCTCAGTAAAGAGACTGGCTCCATCATCTCGGTATCCATCCTTGTATATACCAGATGGTTGCTATTGGGTCCTTCCTAAGCATCTCTTCTCCAGGGTAAACAAGGCCACGAAAGGCTCTCAGCATGCCCTCACAGGTCACATACTCCAGCTCCCTGACCATCTGGGTGGACTTGCCCCAAGTTCATCAACGTTGTTCTTGTTGGGGGTAGGGAGAACGGGAGCAAAACAGGCCACAGTATTACAAATGCAGCCTGGGAACATCTGGAACAAATGCCAACTAAAGCGGAATAAAGCTGTTTGTTTTCATCACTACCAGGGTGAACTGCTGACTTGTAGTCAGCCTACTGTTCACCAGAACCAGGTCCTTCTCAGCAGAACTACAATCCAACCAGTTTGTAGCACTGCAGGAGGGTTACTGATCCTGCAAGCAGGACTTGGCATGTGCCCATGTTGAACTCTAAGATTCCTACGGGCCCACTCCTCTAGCCTTTCCGAGTACTTTGGGATGGCCGCCCTGCCTTTGAGCCACCTAGTTCTGTGTCTACCACATACCTGATGAAGGTGCATTCCACCTCCTCCTCCAGGTCACTGATAAAACCATTAAAAAAAAGAAAGAGTAGCTCACAGCAGACCCTTGAGGAGCTCCAGTTGTAACTGCTGTCCAGGCAGAGAACGAACCATCAGCCACCCTTTGAGATGACTCTTCAACCAGCTTTCACTTGTCTAGTCATCCTCCCATTCAGCCTGTAAATAGGAGTATGCTGTGGGACACTGTAAAAAGCCTTGCTAAGGTCAAAATAAAAAAAATCCACTGCTCTCCCCTCAGCTGAAGACCTGGTCATTTGACAGAAGTCGGTCAGGTTGGTCAAGCATGACTGACCCTTAGTAGAGCCATGCTGACTACTTCCAGTCACCTGCTTTTTCGAAGGCCCCAGAAATGTTTTGCTACAGGTCGATATAAACTACTTATTGATAGTGCTATCCAAGTAAAGCAGCATTTAATGCTTTTAGCAAGTGAAATAGAAAGTTTTCTTTATTATATAACATAGCCAGGATGCCTGAAACAGTGAACAGGAACCATCTCTAGGCTTCAACAATTTGCAGAATTCAAATGTTCCAAAGCCTAAATATAAGAACTCTGTGATAAAAACAAGCAGGTCTCAAAACAAGTGAACACAGTCATCAAACAATTGAGTTTCTGGCTAATTTTCAAGGTATCTGGCAACAAGACAGTAATAGCAGAGGTTATAAAAGGAAAAACTTGGTGTTCATAACTCTACCTAAAATTTATTATAGAAACTGGTGGCAGAGAAAGGGATGAGAAAGGAGTGGAAAAGAATAGCAAGTGGCCAAGAAAACTTAAACATGTTTCATTATGCACATTAGAAAGAATTTCTGACATTCAGATTGCTTACATCTTTTCAGATGGTTTGATTTTCTCCTGGACTGTACTGGAAGAAAATCCACTTTACTGAGACCTCTGAACTTGAACAAATTCAGGAACTTCTGGACACAAAAAAACAGTCAGTGCCTGACAAACAACCTCAAATTCTAGTCTCTACCAGTGATGAGATTATTCATGTTTCACCCAAAATACTTCAGTCCCGTTGCAGTTCCCCAAAACTTATGCTTGAAGCAGGGAGCAGATAAGATACTCTAGCTCCGCATTAAGCAGTGAACAATGCCAACACCACAGTGGATGAGCAGAGGCAGTCCTCTTATCCCCTAAGGAAATTTGCAAACGTGACAAAAAGCACAGAAAAACAGCTTGACTCGCTCATGAACTTTCTGACAAACTCCTTACCATGACCTTTGCTAAGTTCTTGTTTCTGCTGTATTCTCATGTGCCTACAGAATAAAGATATTCTTGTCAGCAAGTGCTGCTATTTAATTAAACCAGAATGACTGCTGTGAAGGGAGTCATATCGACATCTGTAGCAGGCTCTGCATTTGGGGAAAATCCAAAGGAAGAGATGGGCATTTTTAATTTAGTTATAATAGAGGTTTTAACATCAGTATTTAATTGCATGTTCTTTTACTTTAGGATTGCAACATGGCTGGTGACACTGCTGACACTGTCAGTTATGGGACTTCCAGTATGGTCTTCTCTTCATCAGCAGTAACATTCCAAGTAAATTTAGAACTTCCACTTGCAAGACAGGTTATCAGTTATCCAAACCACTAGTGCTAAGAACCAACGTTACTAACTACACCTTAAAAGAACCTCCTTTGAAACATCTCAAGGTACAGTCTTACTAGAAGTTAGGCTAAGCTAAACCGGTAACTGCTGTAAGCCCACCTCCTGCCACATGTACTTTCTACTCCAACTTTTGCATCGGTAGTTGCTTTCATATCCTCATGTAGAAAGCTGATTCAAGAAGCTAAACTAAAAGAAAATTAACCTCAGCAATAGATACCCAACATACACACATCAGGTAACTCTCTCACCATGAGATAAGACACAGCCAAGTATCAGCATGAGGAGGAAGAGGAGCACATGGCCAGAGGCAGAAGACTGCAGAAATACAGCAGCACTAACATACTTAGGTAATTATGAGAACCTCTTCCTTAATGAAACAGTCAGGATTATGAGTGGGTTCCAGAAGCAAATGCCTGAGTGCATGCAGAGGCCTAACAAGAACTCTCTTTTCTGTACTGTATCAACATTTAAAAGTGGTGAAAAACCAAACAATTCTAAGGACCTTTAACTAAAAAGAGGAATACCAGATGCTCACTAACTAGGCAGCATGTAGCAGAAAGCTGTTTGGGTAGAGGGAATGAACTCCCCATAAGGAAGAGACAAAAACAAAGCTATATTGTGTACATTAAGTGAGCCAGCTTCCAAGATGTTACATCTATTGTTTTTAAATAGCTGCAAAGAAATAACAACAGTGCCTGGCTGACAAAGGAAGCAGATATATCTAGTGCCTAGCACTCTCACCGAGGTAGAGCAAGATTTAATGACTAGAAACCAACACAGAAGAAATTCAGAATTAAAAATTCAGCTTCAACTGAATTACATGCTAGCTACTACTTTAACTGTGCTGGGTTTACCTTTGTCCTGTCTCCAGGGTTTTGAAGGCACTACCCTTTGGCAGTTGAACCAAACAAGCTTTATTGCTTTTTCCCTCTTAATGGAAAAGTTATTCTGGGTCACATCAGCCCACTCTAATTTTCCTTTCTTTCTCTGAACATGGCAGTTTAGTCCAAGTACATCCTTTCAGTCACCCAATGACCTTCTAGGAATCTTTGCTTCCTCAGCGACAGTGATGCGAGTCTACCAATTCCATGACACCTTAAATCCATAATAAGATTAGATAATGCCGTGCATTGTTTTCCTCTATCTGCAGGACTTTTTACACAGTTTAGGGTGGAGAAAAAAAAACCCTAAAAAACTTTCACACAGTTCAGGAAAAAGCACTATAGACTAAAGCTTCTCCCATTCCCCCCCAACCCTTCCCAAGAAGGGACACAACAGGAGAGAATGAGCTCAAAGAAACCACACATCAACAAAAAAAGAA